CAAACTTTCCTTTGTGTTTTACTTTTCTTCTGAGCCCTCCAAACTCAACCAACCTCTGCCCATTTCCTAGTTCCAAAGGCACTTCCACATGTTCGAGTATCTTGGCAGCAACATCTCACTTTTCAGTACAAATATCTGTCTAAGTCTGTATGTATTGCTATAAAGGAATACCTGAAACTGGATAATTTATAAAGAGAAAAGGTTTATTTGGTCATAATTTCACTGGCTGGAAGTTTGGGCATCTGGTGAAAGCCTCAGGCTGTTTCTAGTCGTAGTGGAAGGCAGAAAGGGAGTCAGTGTGTGCAGAGGTTGTATGGTGAGAGAGGAAGCAAGAGAGAGGGAAAGCATTCAGCTCTTTTTTTTTTTTTTTTTNAAAAAAAAAAACACACACACACACACAGGAGAGGACGGGCACAGTGGCTCATGCCTGTAATCCCTGCACTTTGGGAGGCTGAGGCGGGTGGATCATAAGGTCAGGAGTTCGAGACCAGCCTAGCCAAGATGGAGAAACCCCATCTCTACTAAAAACACAAAAATTAGCTGGGCACAGTGGCAGGCGCCTGTAATCCCAGCTACTCAGGAGGCTGAGGCAGAGCACTGTCTAATTCTAATTCAACTCAGGCTTGCTGGGACTTGGAGGTACCTATGCTGGGTCTGGGAAATGCTTTTGTGCCGTGGCTCTTTCTGACCTGGTCTGGAGGAAGCAGATCCTTGAAATCTAATCTGTTCAGATTAGATGAACCCAGGAGGCAGAGGCTACAGTGAGCGGAGATCATCCCACTATACTCCAGCCTTGGTGACAGGGCAGGACTCTCCATCTCAAAAACAAACAGGAGAAACTGGACACAGGGAGTGACAAGCCCTCACTCCTGGTGCAGGGGCTGGGAACTGCCAGCTTCTGCCAGAACATTTGCAAGCATCCTTTCTGTTCATCGTACCGTAACGATCGTAATAACACTCCACTCCGTAACACTCAGCGTCATATTACATTGTTCAGTTCCAAAACAGTGGATAAACGTTAATGCGTCTTCACAATGCCTCCAAAAAGCCATCAGAGAAATTGTGTTTCAAAAACATAATTTTACGTCCAAAAGCCGAGGAAATAAAAGTACTGGAGTTTTCCAAATGAGTCACAGATTTCAAGGGTCAGTGCAGGCAGAACAGCTCAGGAATAAACACCTACCTTGCCAAAGTCTCCTGTTCATTGCTGGGGAAACCAGCAACAGCAATGAAAACATAAGCCTGGGCTGGCCAGCCAGCAGGTGCTGGAGAGGGCCTTGCTGTTGGTGGCTGTCCAGACAGCCAGGGGAACTCTGCACCAATCTCCTCCCTCCCAGTCCACCCCACCATAGCCACCCCTAAGCTCTGCGTGGGCAGCACCCTGCCCCTCGTCTTACCCAGCCCCTCCTTCCTACACTTCCCTCCTTCCTGGTCTTCGTCCTTCAAAGGTGACACACAGGCTCTCCGGGGTGTCCAACAGGCACCTCGCAGCTCTCGGCAAGCCCAGCTGTGAACTACACCCCACAGCAGCCCGTTTGGAGAATGCAATGGGCGGCTCAGGAGCACTAAATTCATCTCCGCTATCACTGGTCATTTTAAAGAGGGACACACATTTTCTTTCTTTTCTTAAAACAAACAACCCCTCACCACCCTCCATCTTTCTTCTCCATCCCTGACTCCGTTCTCAGAATATGTGCCCCCGATGACACTCATTAGAGATGAGAGAATGTTGGTGAAGGCCGCACTGTTACAAAACAGCATCCCATTCTGCAGTCATTCTCCAGCAAAGAGGACCCTCAGCCTTTTCACAGGTGAGGAGAGAGATTCAGAAAGAGTGCAACCTCCCCAGTGTGACTCAGCTCACGTGCCCACACGGACTTCGGGGGTGCTATGGTCTGAATGTTTGTGATTCAGTTTCACAAATTCCTATGCTGAAACTGAATCTTCAACCAATGGCATTAGAGGTGGGGCCTTTGGGAGGTGATTAGGTCACGAGGGTGCAGCCTTCATGAATGGGATCAGCGCCCTCACAAGAGAGGTTCCAAGGAGCCCGTGTGCCTCTCCCACCATGTGAAAATGCAGCGAGAAGGCACCACCTATGAGGAACGGTGAAACCAGACATTCAATCGGCCAACAACTTGATTTTGGACTTCCAACCTCCAGAGCATTAATTTGTTGTTTCCACAGCAGTCAGTTTATGGTATTTTGTGATAGCGGCCCAGACAGACTCAGACAAAGAGCACTAAGGAGTGAGTTTCACAGTACGACAACCAGCTGGAAAGTACAGAGAAGAAGAAAGAGCAAGTGAGGCATCTAGAAGATGATATTAAAGATTAGCTCCAGGAACCAAGGACATAAACCAGCATGGTGAACCTCAAATACACTACCAAGAAAAGGAAGATCGAAAGATACAAAGGATTACCACTTATGACCGTTTACTGGTTTATCATATGAATGAAGGCTATGATGGATTCAGATGAGCAGCCTGATGAAAGCGACCCAGGCGAGGTCTGGAAGATTCCGGCGTGCAAGAGCTTCTGTCCCCACAGAGCTGGGGTCTGCCACCCTCCAGGCATGTAGGCGTGTTACCAACCAGGAAGCTTTCAAAACCCCATACTTTGGGGATTTCTGTGAAGGTCTCGTCAAGGAGGCATGATGGATATTAACTCTACTTCAAGCTCTCTCCCCTCTCTGGAAAATGGAGGATGGAGCTGGAAGCTCCAAGCTTCTAATCATGGCTTGGTCTATCTGGTGACCAACGCCTACCCAGGAGCCCTTTAAGAGTCACCTTGTCAGGACAAGGGCAGCCGCGCTGCTATAACCAGGAAATCCCAAGGGATTTAGGAGCCATGTGTCAGGAACCAGGGTCAAAGATCAAATGCTACTCCTACCACCCAGGAAATCCCAAGGGATTCAGCAGCTCTGGGCCAGGTACCCTCATCACTCTGCAAATTACAAAGATTCTAGAAGCTCTGTGTCAGCAACCAGAATCAAAGACCAAATATTAGAACAGAAGATTCTCTGAGCACCCTTACCTGCAAGGGTTTTAGAAGTTCTGTCTCAAGAACCAGGGACTGAGACCAATAAACACATATACATTTCTTATTATTTCACAGTATTCAACAAACATCATTATCAAAAACAATGAAGCTCACCGTTCTATGATAGAAGACGAAGTGAATTTTGCTGTTTCCCAACCTGCTTCTAACACTGGTACAGCTGGTTGACCTTGGAGCCATTCTTTTTGTTTTTCTTGAGATGAAGTCTCCCATCACCCAGGCTGAAGTGCAGTGGAGCAATCTCGGCTCAGTGCAACCTCCACCTCCCAGGTTCAAGGGATTCTCCTGCCTCAGCCTCCCGAGTAGCTGGCATTACAGGCAAGTCACCACGCCCAGCTAATTTTTGTATTTTTAGTAGAGACAGGGTTTCGCCACATTGGCCAGGCTGGTCTCAAACTCCTGACCTCAGGTGCTCCACCCACCTCAGTCTCCCAATGCGGCATTACATTCGTAAGCCACCACGCCCGGCTGGAACAATTCTTGATCCTTTCTTCCTATGTTTTTGAAAAGCATAAATATACTTAACAATCCCTGGAAGTCCTTTAACAGAAGACTTTACTCCGTAGCAAATAATTCCTTCCTCCCAACTTTCTTACGATGATGATATACATGAGATGAAGTTCAGAATTCAAAAGCGACAGTGTTAGGTAAATTATCTAGCGGTCCATCAATATATGCCATCATCATCAGGATTAGCAAAGACATGCATAATTACAATATAGGATTTTGCAAAAGCCCAGGCTGTACTCTAGAACTTCAAATCCCTTTTTCTGCGAATCCATCTTTCCCAAAAGTCACAAATCTACATTCTAACTAGTTAAGGTGCATTAGGAAAAGTCAAGAAACAAAGCTCCTAGATAAAACACACCAGCAACAGATACACCTTCAATAGTGGACTGCGGCGAACCGTTCACACTGTGGACTCCTAACTCCCACAGCGCAGCTTCCTGCTGGCAGCAGGGGTGGGACCTGGAGGACCTACACATGCCACACTCAAATCTAGTCATGTGCTCTGAATCTTAAAATACACTCTTTGTTAAGGAGTAATACAGACCCCTTTTAAAGGTATCATATGGGGCCAGGTGCAGTGGCTCATGCCTGTAATCCCAGCACCTTGGGAGGTCAAGGTGGGTGGATCATCTGAGGTCAGGAGTTCAAGACCAGCCTGGCCAACATGGTGAAACTCCGTCTCTACTAAAAATACAAAAAATTAGCAGCGTGGCGGTGTGCACCTGTAGTCCCTGCTACTTGGGAGGCTGAGGCGCAAGAATCACTTGAACTGGGGAAGCAGAGGTTGCTAAGTGAGCTGAGATCACGCCACTGTACTCCAGCCTGGGCAACAGAGTGTGACTCCATCTTAAAAAAAAAAAAGTATCAAATAGTAAGAAACATGTGATGATACTTAGGAAAAATTGGGAGCCAACATCTGATGAAGTTGATGGGGATTTTTTTTTTTTTTTTTTTTT